GATAGAGGAGAGGATAGGTGGAGAGGAAACAAACAGGTCGAAGAGGCGGGGATGGGGCCAGGAAAGGTGAGTGTAGGTAGGGAGTTAGGAAGGGGATAGGTCAGTCCAGGGAGGACGGACAGGTCAAGGGGGCGGGATGAGGTTGGTCGGTAGGAGATGGAGGTGCGGCTTGGGGTGGGAGGAGGGGATAGGTGGAAGGAAGAACAGGTTAGGGAGGCAGGGACGAGTTGGACTGGTTTTGGGATGCGGTGGGGGGAGGGGAGATTTTGAAACTTGTGAAATCCACATTGATACCATTGGGCTGCAGGGTTCCCAAGCGGAATATGAGTTGCTGTTCCTGCAACCTTAGGGTGGCATCGTTGTGGCACTGCAGGAGGCCCAGGATGGACATGTCGTCTGAGGAATGGGAGGGGGAGTTGAAATGGTTCGCGACTGGGAGGTGCAGTTGTTTGTTGCGAACCGAGCGTAAGTGTTCTGCAAAGCGGTCCCTGAGTCTCCGCTTGGTTTCCCCGATGTAGAGGAAGCCACACCGGGTACAGCGGATGCAGTATACCACATTGGCAGATGTGCAGGTGAACAGACAGCTAAATTTCCCTAAATCCCATGCATCCTTACTTTGAATGACCCTACCGTGTGGAACCTTATCAAATGCCTTGCTAAAATCCATATACACCACATCCACTGCTCTATCTTCATTGATATGTTTTGTCACATCCTCAAAGAATTCAATAAGGCTTGTGAGGCATGACCTGCCCCTCTCAAAGCCATGCTGACTATTTCTAATCAAACTGTGCTTTTCCAAATAATCATAAATACTATCTCAAACCTCTCCAATAATTTGCCCATCAGAAGTAAGACTGACCGGTCTGTGATTTCCAGGATTATCCCTATTCCCTTTCTTGAACAAGGGAATGACACTTGCCACCCTCCAATCTTCTGGTACTACTCCAGTGGACAGTGAGGACCCAAAAATCATTTCCAAAGGGGCAGAAATCTCTTCCCCCACTTCCCGTAGTAACCTTGGATACATCCCGACTGGCCCGGGGACTTATCCTCATGTTTTTCAAAATTTCTAGCACATCCTCCTTCCTAACATCAACCTGTTCGAGCATACAGCCCTCACAAACGTCAAGGTTCCTCTCACTGGTGAACACTGAAGCAAAGTATTCATTAAGGACCTCCCCTACTTCCTCTGACTCCACACACAAGTTCCCTCCACTATCCCTGATTGGCCCTACCCTCACTGTGGCCATCCTCTTGTTCCTCACATAAGTATAGAAAGCCTTGGGGTTTTACTTGATCCTACCCACCAAGGTTTTCTCCTACACCCTTCTAGCTCTCCTAAGTCCATTCTTCAGTACCTTCCTGGCAATCTTGTAGACCTCTAGAGCCCTGTCCGATCCTTGATTCCTCAACCTTAAGTAAGCTTCCTTCTTCCTCTTGACTAGGTGTTCCACATGTCTTGTCATCCAAGGTTCCTTCACCTTACCATCCTTTCCTTGCCTCAGTGGGACAAACCTATCCAGCACCTGTAGCAACTGCCCCCTAAACAACCTCCACATTTCTGTCGTGCATTTCCCTGACAACATCTGATCCCAATTGGTGCTCTGTAGTTTTTGCCTAATAGCATTGTAATTCCCCCTCCCTCAATTAAATACTTTCCCATACCATCTGCTCCTATCCCTCTCCCATGACTATAGTAAAAGCCAGGGAGTTGTGATAACTATCACCAAAATGCTCTCCCACCAAGAGATCTGACACATGACCTGGTTCGTTGCCAAGCACCAAATCCAATATGGTCTCCCCTCGTAGACAGGCCAACTGGATACTGAGTCAGAAATTCTTCCTGGACACACATGACAAAATCTGCTCCATCCAAACTATTTGCATTTAGGAGGTTCCAGTCTACTTTAGGGAAGTTGAAGTCACCCATGACAACAACCCTCTTATTTCTGCACCTTTCCAAAATCTGCCTCCCAATCTGTTCCTCAGTGTCTCTGTTGCTATTGGCAGGGTCTATAGAAAACTCCCAATAAAGTGACTGCTCCTCTTCTGTTTCTGACTTCCACCCATACTGACTCTGTGGAGAAACCCTCCTCCACGACCTCCCTTTCTGCAGCTGTGATACCATCCCTGATTAGCAATGCCACTCCCCCACCTCTTACCTCCCTCCCTATTTCTTTTGAAACATCTATACCCCGGAACATCCAACTACCATTCCTGCCCGTGTTATCCAAGTCTCCGTGATGGTCACAACATCGTAATTCCAAGTACAGATCCATGCTCTAAGTTCGTCCCCTTTATTCCTGACACTTCTTGCATTGAAGTAGACACCTCAACCCATCGCAGTGACTGCCACTTTGCCCTAAAAACTGCTTAACCTTCCTCACAGATTCAGTGCTTGCTGTATCTGTACACTAGCTACCCCATCCTCTGATCTGTAGCTCCGGTTCCCATCCCCTTGCCAAACTAGTTCAAACCCTGCCGAAGAGCTCTAGCAAACCTTCTGCCAGGATATTGGTGCCCCCCTCCAGTTCAGGTGCAACCCATCCTTCCTGTACAGGTCCCACCTTCCCCAGAAGGTATCCCAATGATCCACAAACCTGAAGCCCTCCCTCCTACACCAGCTCTGTAGCCACGTGTTCAGCTGCGCTCTCTGTTTCTAGCCTGACTAGCCTGTGACACCGGTAGTATTCCTGAGGTTACTGCTCTGCTGGTCCTGGCTTTCAGCTTCCATCCTAACTCCCTATTTTCACTTTTCAGGTCCTCATCCCGTTTCCTAGCTATGTCATTGGTACCGATGTGTACCACGTCTTCTGGCTGCTCTCCCTCTACCTTTAAGAATCCTGAAGACTCGATCCGAGACATCCCTGACTCTGGCACCCAGGAGGCAACATACCATCCGGAAGTTTTGCTCGGTACCACAGAATCTCCTGTCTGTTCCCCTAACCAGCGAATCTCCTATCACTATCGCTCTCCTATCAGTATCGCTCTCCTATTCTCCCCCCTTCCCTCCTGAGCCACAGAGCCAGGCTCAGTGCCAGACATCTGGCCGCTATGGCTTTCTCCTGGTACGTCGTCCTCCCCTAACAGTATCCAAAATGGTATACTTATTAATGAGGGGAACAGCCACGGGACCCCTGCACTGTCTGCCTGTTCCCTTTTCCCCTCCTGACAGTCACCCAGCTACCTTTGTCTTGTACCTTGGGTATGACCACCTCTTTATAACTCCTCTCTCTCACCCCCTCAGCCTCCTGAATGATCCAGAGTTCATCCAGCTCTAGCTCCAGTTCCCTAACGCGATCTGTGAGGAGCTGGAGTTGGGTACAGGTGAAGTCAGAAGGACACCAGTAGTGACCCTTACCTCCCACATCCTACAAGAGGAGCATGCAACTACCCTAGCTTCCATTCCCTCTATTCTAGATTGCCAAAAGAATGAAGAAAAATGCCTTACCTTACTGACCCTCCACACAGTCTTTTTTTGGTTAGAGGAGGACGATGAGTGGGAGACACTACACGTGTAGTGTTTTGGGTTTAGACAATGCCCAAATATAATAGTTCACTTCTCGGTTCGTGCTCTCTCCACTCCCGCTGTTCAAGTCAAGTAGGCTGCTAACTCACGAGGTAAGTTTTTATAAGCAAAACCTTACCTTCCTGGCTGCCCCCTGGCTCGCGCTCTCACCACTCCCGCCACTCGAATCAAGTAGCCACTTGATTCTGTATTTATTATTCAGTATAGATTGGAATGGATTAGAAAAAAAATACTTTTCAGTATGCACACCATTATCTGCTCCATTTTAAACCCATCCCTCCCTTATCTCACCTTAACCTGTCCTGTATCCGGTAAAATCCATGAGGTACATAGCTAGAAGGCATTACAGCTGCAAAAGGCATTGTCATGTTTAAAATTAGATGAAGATCACAAGAATTCCACTCTTCACTGAACATTCTTCAAGTGAGTCCACCACAAAGAACACAGGCTTGAGTGTATTTGTGAATGGATTGTGTGATTAATTCATTTTCATACCTTTGAGTTACATCAGATATCATATAAATTCCTAAATGCAGAATTTTGATTTGTGATTGTTGGGAGAGGAATTCGCTGATGGTACATGGCTATTAAACTAGAACTCTTCCGTTGGGAAACCAGTGAATGAAGATTGGTTGATGAGATTGAGGTTTGGTTTTACACCTTGCCTAACTGAAATGTATGATGAGTAAAATTGATCCTGTCAGTATACAAACACACAAACTTGGAGCAGGAATAGGCCACTCACCCCTCAAGCCTGCTCTGCCATTCAATAGGATCGTGGCTGATCTGACTATAACCCTAACTCTATACTCTTGCCTACTCCTGATAACATTTCAATTCCTTGCTTGAAATGGGATTTGTTTTAAATGGGCGACCCAGGAAGTTTTAACTAGTGACCCCTAGCTCCCCCATAAACATTTCCAATCAGGAGTTTTATTAATATTTACCCTGTATTTAATCACTCAGAAGAAATCAAGAAGAAATGCAATTTTAAAACAGAAAATAAAATACTCAGACTGGGTATAGGTCCTGCAGTACTCAGTTTGAGATTAAAGCAGTAGGTTTTGAAATTCTCGGGCTGGACCCTTCTGCATCTGTGCTTGTAGCTCCCAGCAGATGGGAGTCATGGAAAATTGTTATCCAAGCTTGAGACTGACAGCAAAAATCTTGAAGTGGGTGAAGTATTTACAGATAAAAAGTACCAACGTGCATCAGAAGCCCTTGACCATGGAATCTCAAGGAAATGGGGGAATATAGTGATAGTTTGGCAAGGAGGAATAAAAAGAGATAATCGGCCATGATTGTTTTAAATGTTGGAACAGACATGAAGAATCAAATGGGCTGGTCCATTTCCTTTTTTAAATGTTCTTATATTCCTCGAATAACAGAGGCACACTATAATACATGTATGTCGCTGTCAGTTTCTCATGAATGACTGGAATAAATTTTCTCAACCATTTCCCTACAGATAGTGTGTTCAGAGAATGCCTCGGAAATGGGACTTGGGCAAGCAGGATCGACTACTCCCAGTGCCAACCAATCCTGCAGCAAAAGGTTTGTGCCGCTTTAAAACATTTAGAAAGACATGAATAGCATAGGAAGAGATCATTTTACAACATAATTACATTCTCAAACTTCACACACATCTGTAGTAACTCAGGGGTTAGTGTGTGTTAGAGGCTATTTATTCCATATGTCAGCATGAATTCTTAAGTGGTCAGTAAAATGGTAGTCAGTGTGTGACTGTTAAAAGGGACAATAACACAGGGGGTCAGCATCTGGTATTGGGGTTTATTTCTGGAACCTGCAGTCTTGACATGCTTTCATTTCCTCTCAATAAACTGAATGTCAAAATCTATTTCTTTCCTACTTCCTCCATGGGCTCAATTCTACCATTCTACATTCTGTACGGAGGATACCTAGATTCAAATCAGACTCTGACCCTAACAGATTACAACCTCGTCAAGATCCACACTTGGACTCAACACAAACCTAACTGCAATCCTGATCCAAATTCCAACCCACATCAAAAGCAAGACCTATTGAAACTTATTGTTGACATGCGCTTATCTCAATCCCCAAACCATTTTCCCATAATTATCCCTTTCCTTGGCTGTTGTTATGGACCAGACCAAACTCCCTGAAATTACTCAGAAGATAGTTTAGACCCTAACATTTTCTTATTTTAAAAAGTAAGTGCCAGGTCTTGCATTCTGGATGCAATTTGACTGGTCAAACTATCAGATTTGAAGCAAAACACACTTTATTCATTAACTACTGTTACAACACAGCAAAAGAAAGAAGAAATTGGATTAACTTAATGCAATTGGAAAACTTAACAGAATTGTAGATTACTTTACTATTAAACGGTGACTGTTCCAAAATACTGACATCCCATAAACATACCCTTGGAAAAAGGCAAATTCAGTAAACAGATTATCTCATAGTGCCACTCCAGCAGCAGCAAGAGAACCAAGAGAGGAAAAAAAAGCTTCCACATCTTCAAGACCCCAGCAACAACTGCTACTGCAAAACTAAAAATCTAAAAATCCTGGTTCTGTGGGAGCTTGCTCCATCCATTCTGGATGCTGCTATTGTTCCAACTTAAAAAAAAAAGTCCTCTCAAGCTGTGTTACTTTATTGGCTTTGACTAGAAAACTTGCTACCTCTACTTTAAACCTCTCAGAAAAAAGGACAGAATATACCTCTTAAAGCTGCAGTATCGCCATACTGCATACATTCGTTATTCCTTTGTTTGTCAGTTACCTGATTTTGCTTTCTTACTCGATTTCCCTCATGGTCTGTCTCTGTGCTTTGGACAAAATTTATTGTTCATACAGATTAAACTATATGTTAGTGTAACGCAGCATTGAACAGCCATGTATTATCAACTACAAATCCTTGCTCTTACCTTTTTTAGTATTCCTACACTGTATGTAACCCCAATGGCTTCAGCAGAGCTAGCTGCTTTCTATTTGTTTCCATGGCTTCAGTGCTCATGACCAACATCCTGAGTTTTACAGCCTATGAGGAATTGTGTCAAATTAACATAAGAACAGCAGGAGGCAATTCAGCCCTTTGACCTCATTCCTTCAAACAGTTAAATCATGGCAAATCTGTAGCACTATTCCATATTGCTGCTTTTTCATGATATCCCTTAAAGCAACAAAACTCCATCAGTCTCAGATTTAATCAAAAATCAATTGCCATTGTGGGAGGCAGTTCCAAATGTCCACCAGCTATTGTGTAGAGAAGTGTTTAATTTCTGACGTAAAGCTCTGGTCTGATTCCTCACAGACCTAGATTCCCACCAAATAAAAATATTTTCTTTCTATGTACTCATTGGTTTCCCCTTAATGTTATAAAACTTAAACCAAATCACCATTTAAACTTCTAAATTGACAATCCAACTAGTTTACTTCGTTCCTGACAAACTCCTTCGAGGTATGATGACCCAAACTGAAGGAATAAATTGATGTTCTCAAATGGGTAATGTATTTGTATCACAAATACAAATTTTAAAATGGCCTAAGGTTAATATTACAGAAAAGGATTGCAAATTTAAGAAATAACAGGGGGAGAAAAAGGCTCATTTTTTAAAAAAAAACAGTTTTGTTACATTACTTCCAGCAAGTACAAATACATCACAACCTAATCCTAAGTCACCAGAGATAACCAGCTCCTGTTCATCACACATGTGACTTTCAATGCTTGAACTGGTTTTTTGTCCCTCCAACTTGCAGTGGTTGTCTCACAGATTGCTTTCTAGGTAACTGCTTAAACAGTATCCACAGACATTCCCCTGTTGTCGTCATCAACAATCGCTCACTAATGAGTATGATTGTCTACCTAAGAAACTCTATAACTGTCATGGGTTCTGTGGGTTCTTGCATGGCTAATTAGCCCGATCCTAGAGCTACATCTCCAACCACACATTTAGCAAGGGTTTCCAGGAAGTGGAAATGGTCCTTGGGCCATGAAATCATTGGCATTCCTTTCTCAGGTTCCTTTTCGATACTTCTTGCTGATGGTTGTTTTTGAAGAATTGTATCTCTTCATACAGGAATGTAACTGTTTCCCCAAGTCCGTTTCTTCTGAGTGAGGGTGTCACGGATCTTGGATGTCTATGTTTCATTTCTGGAGGGAAGCCTTCAGGGAGCTTTTGAAAGGCTTTTTGGTCTCCTCTCATTTGAGAGGCTTTTTTCAGCTGGGCAAAGAAGGTTTACTTTGGCAGTCAGAATTCAGGCATCTTAAGCATGTGGCTGCTCCTGTGGCATTGGTTTTGGATGATTATGGTCTCAATGCTGATGCTATTGGCTGCTTCAAAGTTGCTGATGTTAGTATGCCTATTTTCCCAGAAGATGTGGAGAATCTGTCTCAAACAACATTGACTGTACTTCTCCAGCTTTGAGGTGGCATCTATACGTAGTCCAAATTTCAGAGACATACAGAAGAGTCAGAAGGACGAGTGCTTTATACACAAGGATCTCAATCAGTGTGGATGTCAAAGTCATTGAAGACTGTCATAAATTCTGCATTGTATCTTGGAGATGCTACACCTTTAGCTCCTGTGATCCTGTGGCAGAGGGAATGAATGCTTAAGGTGGTGGATCGGCTTCCAATCAGAGGACTGATTTATCCTGAATACTGTTGAGCTTCTTGAGTGTTGTTGGAGTTGTATTCATTCAGGCAGATGGAGAGTATTGTATTACACTTCCAGAAATTGTTTTGTTCAAATTCCTTGAAAATGGCTCAGTTTCTTGGGAACATCTGCACTGAAAGGGGACCTAAGCTGTATTTGGTAATGCCCCACCTTCAAGTAATTATACCCAAGATGGTAGCGTGCATTTTCACCTTGCTGACAAACCACTTCATGAAACCTCAAGTTTTAGGATATTTTTGACCATTCTTTTCCCCACAGAAAAGATTGTAACAAATAAGTTTCAAATAGTCTTAAGAAGAAAGTGTGCAAAGTGCTAGTAGTTTGATTCAATGTTTTCACATCGGATGGTAAATAAACAATGTGTTAGTCTGCAATTGTGTAACAAAGAATACTCAGCATATTAGCAACTAGGTAATTTTGTTTTTGTAATGTTGAGTGGGGAGTCAAGTTTTGTCAGGACACTGGAAACATTTTGCTTGCTTTTCAACGTAGTGTTGCGGCATCTTTTAAGTCCACATGAAAGACCAGTGGGGCTCTGACTCTAAAGTACAATTAAAACAGTCAAAAGACAGCATCTTTGATGGTGCAACACTCCCTTGTGACAATTTAAATTCTTGTGTCCAACTCTCTGGCATGATAAAACTGCATCCCACAGATCTGTGAATAAAGATAGAGACTGTGGAATTAAAGAGACGTGACCAACCAATGCAAAATTGACTGAATGACAGGGAAAAGGAGTGGTGAACAGTTGTTTGTCAAGTTGGAGAAAGATTGATAGTGAAGATCCCCAGGGGTCAAGTTTAGAGCCTTGCTCTTTGATATGTATTAATGACTTTCGTACACTACTTAATTTCAATATTTAGATGGGACTTGAAAGAATGGTGAAACGTCAAGAAGATAATGTAAAAGGTAGTGAGTTAGTGTAATGGCAGAAAAGTGGCTGAATATGTTTACTGCAGAGGTGTGAAGTAGCTAATTCCAGTAGGTTGAGTGTGAAGAGATAATAAATGAAAGGTATGATTCTGAAGGGGCTGCAGGAGCAGGGCAACTGTGTATACGTACCCAAATTTTGAAGGTGGTTGGTGGGCAAGGAGAGTAGTTAACAAAGCCTGTTGGAGCTTTGTAAAACATAAAGTTATGATTAATCTGCACAAAATGCTGGTTCAGTTTCAACTGGAGCGTTAGAACATAGAACAGTATAACATACAAACTGGTTCTTTGGACCACATGTCTGTGCTGATGATGATGCCATTCTGAACTAATCCCATCTCCTTGCATATGGTCCATATCCCTCTAGTACGTGCCTATTCATGTGTCTGTCTAAATGCCTATTAAACATTGCTATCATCTGTTTCTACCGCTTCTGCTGGCACATTCCAAGCACCTACCACTTTGTGTAAAACCCTTTCCTTACACAACACCTTTAAATATTTCCCGTCCTCAAATTATCTCCTATTTGATATTTTCACCCTGCGTAAAAGATTCAGACTCTCCATGCCTCTGTATACTTCTGTCCGGTTGCCCCCCAGCCTCTGAAACTGTAATATATCCAGCTCTTGGCATCATGCTTTTGAAATGGGGTGAAGGCATCACAGTTTGTGCAGAAGAGATTCACAAGATTGATTTCAAGGGTCAGCACGGTGGCTGAATGGTTAACACTGTTGCCTCCCTGCAAGGGTCCCGGGTTCTATTCCAGCCTCGGGCAACTATCTGTGTTGAGTTTGCACGTTCTCCCTGTGGGTTTTCTCCGGATGTACCAGTTTCCTCCTGCAGTTCAAAGATGTGCAGGTTAGATGGATTGGCAATGCTAAATTGCCCATATCGTGTGTAGTGGGTGTGTCTGCATGGGATGCTCCTTGGAGGGTTGGTGTGGACTTGATGGGTCAAACAG